GTGTGTGTGCCACGCCGGCCAAGGCATGGTGTGCCAGGCGCACAGCTGCCAGCCCGGGGAGGAGTGCCAGCCCTCTGGAGGCCAGCTGAGCTGCATCACCACAGGTCTGGCCTGGGCCCGGGTCGGTGCGGTTGATACAAAAGACAGAGAGTGTGGTACTCAAGTAGGGCTCTAGTCACGTCCTGGTGGAGGGGGAGAGGGATCTTAGGCCTGGATCCCACACTGGGGTCGCTCGGGGAGGAAGTGTCCATCCAGACTGGAATCAGCTTCCTTTTGCGTGGAGTGCTGGGTGAGGACCCTTGTCGATTTTTTCCAGTTTAGTGTCATATAAGGCAGGAACAGGCTTCCTCTTTCTCTGCAATCTGTGTATTAAATATTTAAGCTTACAGACCACAGGGGTAGTCTTGGTGTTATGAGGAGCGTTCACAGGTAATTAAGTTCAGAGGTTGACTCCAAGAAAACTTTGTTTACACAAAGAGGCAGGCATGTGCCATAGTCTACCCACCACTCAGGCTCTAAGTTTGGGCCTCAGACACCATCTGCTAGTGTAGAGGAGACAGGAGCTCGCTGGTCTGGGGTAGAAAGCAGAATCCTGAGGTTCGGGCAGAGAACGCATCAATGCTGGCATCATGGGTACAGGGCCTAAAGCACAGCAGCCCTGGGTAGGAGCCCTCCATGGCAGAACGCCAGGGCGTGAGGCTTAGTTTCAGGGACCCAGTGTCAGGGTCTTGAATGCTGGCCCCTCTTTAGGTCCTCCCCCAGAAAGTCCTTCCAGTCCTTTGGTCTTGTTCGCAGAGCTCTGCAGGATCTCAAATATATTGGCCTTAGTAGCTGGGAGCTCAGGAGTAGGGGAGCCTGTGGCCCAGGTCTTGAAGGCACAGACCCCGGGTCCAGGGATGCCCTCTCGGGATGCTCTCAGGCCTGGCTGTGCAGACACAGGTGCCTCTGGGCTCTGGTCTCACACCTGGACCCCTGAAGCTGAGCTCCCAACCAAGGGACTATCACGGCCTGGGATTCAAGTGCAGCGGACGTAGACCTGGGTCTTGGCCATAAAGACCTTGGTCTCAGACCCAGGAGTGCAGGTCCTGGGTCTCTGATGTGAACCCCCTGAAATCCGGTGTCCCCTGGAGTACCCTCAGCCAGCACTCCTGGCACGGCGAAGGCAGAGGCTGGGCATCTCAGGGACCTCTCTCTTCTGCCCCAGATCCATGCCAGGATGTGATATGTAGGCCACAGGAGTCGTGCAAGGTGAAAGACGGCGAGGCCGTGTGCGTGCCCAACTATGAGAGCACGTGCTGGCTGTGGGGCGACCCGCACTACCATTCCTTCGACGGCCGGGACTTCGACTTCCAGGGCACCTGTGATTACGTGCTCGCAACAACCACCTGCCCTGGCGTCAGCACCCACGACCTGACACCCTTCACTGTCACCACCAAGAACGAGAACCGGGGTAACCCTGCCGTGTCCTATGTGAGGCGAGTCACCGTGACGACGCTGGGCATCAGCATCGCCATCCACAAGGACGAGACCGGCAAAGTCCGGGTAAGCCCGCTGGAGGCCCCACCCCACCGTTAGGGCAGAGGGCTCTGCCGGCCACGGGCGGGAGCCTAGGGCTCAGTCTTCCACCCAGAAGGAACTGATGTCAGCTAGTGCAACAGTTACAGCAAAACATGACCCTTTCCCTTTAAATTGAGCAAGCCTGGCCCTTTGCTCAGCGCTCACCTTTATAGAGACCTGGATTTGAACCCAGGCATTCCTTATGAGGTGGCTGAAGTTGGCAAGTGAAGCCCGGCCTCAGTTTCCTTGCCTGTGAGCTGGGGGTCAGAGCAGGTCCCGCCCCTCGTGAGGTGCTGCGTGGGAAGTGGAAAGCACACGACTGAGAGTCTGGGCCAAGTAAGCATCCGTGAATGTTTGCGCAGAGACTCCAACGCAGAAGGACGTGAGGGATGGAGGGCAGAGGGAGACGGGAGGAAAGAGGATGGGGCTCAAGTCCGAGGGAGGGAAGCCAGCTGGGGTCTCGCTCTCCAGAGAGCTAGGCTAGAGCAGACTGCGGTGGCTGCCAGGCGACCATGTGACTGCCTGCAAGGAAGGTCTTGGCAGCTTCAGCACGGCAGTGGGGGGCTGGGGGGACAGAACTGGGCCCCCTCACGTCTAGTCACCTGTCTGTCTCCGTCCCCTCCTCCCCCAGGTGAACGACGTGCTGACGGCATTGCCTGTCTCCGAGGCTGGCGGGCGGATTTTAGTGACCCACGGCCCGTCCAAAGCAGTGCTGGTGACTGACTTCGGGCTGCAGGTCACCTATGACTGGAATTGGCGCGTGGAGGTGACGCTGCCCAGCAGCTATCACGGCGCAGTGTGCGGGCTCTGCGGGGACATGGACAGCAACGCCAGCAATGACCAGGCCTTCCCCAACGGCACGCTGGCTCCCTCCATACCTGCCTGGGGCGGCAGCTGGAAAGTGCCAGGCTGGGACCCACTGTGCTGGGACGAATGTCAGGGATCCTGCCCCACATGCCCTGAGGACCGGCTGGAGGAGTACGGGGGCCCGGCCTACTGTGGCCCCCTGGCCTCTGGGGCCGGGGGTCCCTTCGCCGCCTGCCATGCCCACGTGCCTCCCGACAGCTTCTTCAAGGGCTGCGTTCTGGACGTCTGCCTGGGCGGTGGGGCCCACGACATACTGTGCAAGGCCCTGGCTGCCTATGCTGCCGCCTGCCAGGCCGCAGGCATTGTCATCAAGGACTGGAGGCCGCAGGCGGGCTGCGGTGAGTGTGGGGGAGCAAAGGCAGAGCTGGGGGTGGGGCACGGGGAGGCGGAGGCCTGTCTCCCCAGGGCTGCCCCTGCACCTCTTTCTTTCTGGCTCCCCGTCTTTGTTCTGGGGCGCCTTTGCTTCCCTCTCTCCACGTGTCCGTGTTGAGTGTCTTTGCCCCTCACTTGTTCTCTGTGACCCTCTTCGTCTCTGTTTCCTGCTCCGCCTCCCTCGGTCTCGTCTGTCCTGCTTTATCTCTCTCTGTGTCCTCCCACCCTGACACCTCTCTCTCTGTCCTCCCCCAGAGGTCTCCTGCCCAGACAACAGCCACTATGAGCTCTGTGGCCCACCCTGCCCAGCCAGCTGCCCGTCTCCCACGCCCCCCACCACCCCAGCCTTCTGTGAGGGCCCCTGCGCTGAGGGGTGCCAGTGTGACCCAGGCTTCATATTGAGCGTGGATCGCTGCGTCCCGCTGGACGGCGGCTGCGGCTGTTGGGCCGACGGCAACTACTACGAAGCAGGAAGCGAGTTCTGGGCGGACGCCACCTGCTCCGAGCGGTGCCGCTGTGGGCCCGGGGGTGGCTCAGTGGTCTGCACGCCTGCCAGCTGTGGGCTAGGAGAAGAGTGCACGCTGCTGCCGTCAGGCCAGCTTGGCTGCCACCCGATCAGCACCGCCGAGTGCCAGGCCTGGGGTGACCCCCACTACGTCACCCTGGATGGGTACCGGTTTGACTTCCAAGGCGCCTGCGAGTACCTGCTGAGTGCGGTCTGTGGTCACCCACCCCAGGGTGTGGAGCCCTTCAACGTCACTGTTGCCAATGAGCACCGGGGCAGCCAGGCCGTCAGCTACACCCGCAGCGTCTCCCTGACCATCTACAACCACATCCTGGTGCTCAGTGCCCAGTGGCCCCGGAAGCTGCAGGTGAGGCCTCTGTGGGTCAGATGGCCACAGGGTGGCCTGGGAAAGCCGAGGGTCTGACGCCTCCTGCTTACCTTTCATAGGTTAGCAGGGCCGAAGTACCCACCTTGGAGCCAAGGGTGTGGAGCAGTGGCCTCTCCATCCATGAGCCGCAGTTTATTCTGTACAGTGGGGCTGAGAGAAGGGCCTGCCATGTGTTCCTTTTAGGGCAACGGCTCCTGTGACTGCAACCCCAAGGGGCATTCGGGGTTCCACCGGAGTAGACCGGTGGTGGGGCCAGGACTGCAGTCAGCAGCCGCACCATTCACCACCCACACCCTCCCGCGCTGCAGGTGAACGGCGAGCTCCTGTTGCTGCCCTTCCAGCTGGACTCTCGCCTGCGTGCCTATGTGAGCGGCGCCGACGTGGTGGTGACGGCCGCCAACGGGCTCTCCTTGGCTTTCGACGGGAACAGCTTCGTGCGCCTGCGCGTCCCCGCGGCGTACGCGGGCGCCCTGTGTGGCCTGTGCGGGAACTACAACCAGGACTCCTCCGACGACCCGGAGGCGGTGGGCAAGGACCCGGGCCGCTGGCAGGTGGGCGGCGCCCCGGGCTGCGGGCAGTGCGGCGGCGCGTGCCCTCCGCTGTGCACGCCCGAGGAGCAGGCGCAGTTCGGCGGCGCGGATGCCTGTGGCATCATCTCGGCCCCCGATGGCCCGCTGGCGCCCTGCCACGCCCTTCTGCCTCCGGAGCAGTACTTCCAGGCCTGCCTGCTCGACGCCTGCCAGGCTCAGGGTCACCCGGGAGGCCTCTGCCCTGCCGTGGCCGCCTACGTAGCAGCCTGTCAGGCCGCCGGGGCCCAGATCGGAGAGTGGAGGCGGCCAGACTTCTGTCGTGAGTACTGAGCCACGCAGCACCCGCTTAGGGGGAGTCTCTCCTCTACCAGGGTTTTCTTCCCCAGGGAGCTTAGGGAACATCCACCTCCAAGGAGCCAGCTAGCTCCCTCAGAGGAATGGCTCCACATCCACACGCAGAAATCCCCCAGCTTACATACCATAGCGGAAGACAGTGTGATACATCAGGTCTGAATGCCTGGGGCCAATGCAGGCCCGGAATCGGGTGACTGACCCAAAAAGCCACACAGACCCTACACCTGACGAAACCAACTCTTTTGGCCACCTCTGGTCAGAGAGGCCTGGTCAGTCACACCTCCGCTGCCCCCAGACTGTTTCAAACACAGGCCAGATAGTACGTGTCCTGTAGTCACAGACTCACAGAGCCACACCCGGGCAGACTCCAGACTCCAGAACTCCCCCCCGCCCCCCGGGCCATTCCCTGGTTCAGCTTCAGCGTCACCTCAGTCGCACACCGAATGGTCCCGCGGGAGATTCACCCACAGTGAGATTCATGGCCCACAGCTGGTTCAAACCCTGCATATTTGGTCAGGGAGCCCTTACTCTGTAGAAACACTGGGTCAGGTTGACACAAGACCTGTCCAGGTGCTGGGGCCCAGATCCCACACAGGACCCCCCATCAGATGCACCGGGTCAGACACCCCGCTCAGGCCCCCATAGATTCACTCCGACCCCTGCCCAGGCACAGCCCCGCAGCTCCGCCCCTGCCCGCCCCTGAGCGGCTTGCTCCCTCTCGCCCGCAGCCCTCCAGTGCCCTGCCAACAGCCACTACGAGCTGTGCTCCGACTCGTGCCCGGTGAGCTGCCCCAGCCTGTCGGCGCCTGAAGGCTGTGAGTCCCTCTGCCGGGAGGGCTGCGTCTGCGATGCTGGCTTCGTGCTCAGTGGCGACACCTGCGTGCCGGTGGGGCAGTGCGGCTGCCTCCACGAAGGCCGCTACCACCCGCAGGGCGAGGTCTTCTACCCAGGCCCCAAGTGCGGGCGGCGCTGCGAGTGCAGGCCGGGCGGCCAGGTCAGCTGCCAGGAGGGCGCCGACTGCGGGCCCCACGAGGAGTGCCGGGTGCAAGACGGCGTCCAGGCCTGTCACCCCACCGGCTGTGGCCGCTGCCTGGCCAACGGGGGCACCCACTACGTCACCCTCGACGGGCGCGTCTACGACCTGCACGGCAACTGCTCCTACGTCTTGGCCCAAGTCTGCCGCCCGCAGCCTGGGGACGAAGACTTCACCATTGTGCTTGAGAAGGACGCGGCTGGGGCTCCCCAGCGCCTGCTGGTTACTGTGGCCAAGCAGGCGGTGAGCCTGGCTCCGGGGCCGCTGGTAGGTAGACACGGTGCTGCCTTGGAGGTGTGGGGGAAACACAGCTTGCCTGGGGACTCCGAGGGGGGACACAGTCCACGCTGGGGGTTTGGGGAGTGACAAGACTACACCAAGGCGGGCCACCCTCAGTCTGTGGGGACATGGGCCCAACTTAGGGGCCTGAGGGGTACATGGCTCTGCCTCAAAGAGACCAGAGGGACACCACTCCACCCTAGCTTACCTGTAGTCTGTGAGTCCCTGACCTGCTGCGTCCCTCCGCCCAGGTCACCGTGGATGGCGAGGTGGTGACTCTGCCTGTGTCTGTGGGCCACGTGCGGGTGACTGCCGAGGGCCGGAACATGGTTCTGCAGACGACCAAGGGGCTGCGGCTTCTCTTTGATGGCGATGCCCATGTCCTCATATCCATTCCCAGCCCCTTCCATGGCCGGGTCTGTGGCCTCTGTGGGAACTTCAACGGCAACTGGACTGACGACTTCGTTCTGCCTGATGGTGCCGTGGCCCCCAGTGTGGAGGCCTTTGGGGCCGCGTGGAGAACCCCCAGCTCCGCCAAGGGCTGTATCGAGGGCTGTGGGCCCAAGGGCTGTCCCGTGTGCTTGGCAGAGCAGACAGCACCGTTTGAGAGCCTCCAGGCCTGCGGGAAGCTCCGGGACCCCAGCGGCCCCTTCGTGGCCTGCCATGAGGTGCTGAGCCCCTCTGAGTATTTCCGCCAGTGTGTTTACGACATGTGTGCGCACAAGGGCGACAGCGCCTTCCTCTGCAGCAGCCTGGCGGCCTACACGGCAGCCTGCCAGGCGGCCGGCGCCAAAGTGAAGCCCTGGAGGACAGACAGCTTCTGCCGTGAGTGTCTGAGCCCTGCGAGAGCCCCGCGCCAGTCCCTGCCGGCTGCCCGCTCACTGACCCTTCTTGGATCCTCAGATAACCCGCCAGGGTGGGCCTATCTGAGTCCTTGAAACCAGGGCAGGGACTCCCCAGGTTGCCTGGGACAAGGCAGTGGCCCTCACACCTCAGGCAGGGCCACGTCTCCCTCACTCCTCTCAGCTCAGGACTGACACCCAGGGCTGCCATCCGCCCCGGGCCTTAGGTCTGTACTCAGGGGGACAGTGGCCTCCGTCTCCATCTCCAGACTGCAGCTTCAGGGGGCCAGGGGCCTTCTGGGACCTTTCTCCCAAGTGTTCTGAGGACTTTCCTCACCTGATGTGTCCCCATATGATATTAGCATTGAACCCCAGACCTGATCCTCCTCTTGCCCCCTCATCTCTGGACAGCAGCCTCATGCTTCCCCTGGGTCCTGACTTCCCTTACCCCAACCCTGTCCATTTGATCCCCACTCGGCCCTGACCACGCTGGGCTGGGTGCTGGGTAGCTCTAGTTGTGGGGCCGGGTGCTACCAGCGTGACGCCAGCCCGCCTCTCCCTACAGCACTCCGCTGCCCCGCCAACAGCCACTACTCCACCTGCATGCGCTCCTGCCAGGGCTCCTGCGCGGGGCTCGCCGGCCTCGCTGGCTGCACCACCCGGTGCTTCGAGGGCTGTGAGTGTGACGAAGGCTTCCTGCTGTCTCAGGGTGTCTGCATCCCCATCCGAGACTGCGGGTGCACCCATGATGGCCGATACTTGCCGGTGAGCAGGGCTTCAAGGTGGGCAGGGAGGGTGGAGAAGCGTGAGGGAGACCCAGAGCTGCTGAGCCCTCAAGGATGCGGACAGAGGAGCCGCGCCAGCTCCCAGCCCTGTGACTGAAGACTGTGACACCAGAGTGTGGCTCCCGTGAGCAAACGATTGTAAACTCGGTGCCCAAAAAAGGAGAAATTTGCTCTCCTGCAGTCAGAAGTTCTCAGTACCATCAGGGTACCTGAGGATCTGCTCAGTTCTGACTCTGTCCCCGCAGAGACAGAACCAGGGCCCTCAGGATAAGGGCTCAGCCTTGTAAGACGCCTCCGCCTAGGTGTGAGCACAAGCCCCGGGCACGTAGTCCTGCCTGTTCCACAGCCAGAGCTCCCCAGGCCCTGCTCAGCCTCCACCTACCCCCAGCGCTAGATAACCCGTGCTTCTGACCAGCCGCTGTCCATCCGAGATGCCCACGCCCTCGTGGGTTCCATTAAGTTGCTAGAACAGTGCCCAGCACTAGCTCTCCAGCTACATACAGAGGGATTGAAGGATCTGCACCGCCAGCCGTGGGGAGAGGTGCGCAGGGCACGGCCGGGAAGGAGGAGGTCCCGGCGCCCCCCCACATGTGCCGCTCTCCCCTAAATCCTCTTCACCCAGAAGCTTCCCATAGCCCCTTCCTCTGGGCCTCATCAGTAGACACCGGCAGCTGAGCCTTTGGCCTTAGAGCGTAGCCGCTGGCCACGCTCTGTCCCAGGAATTCACCGAGTGAGATACAGAGTCCTACCCTCTACGCTTGTGGGGTTCCTGACAGCCCCACCCCTCAGTTACTGTGCCAAAAGTTACCTTTATTATAACAGGAGACACCTTTACACTCAAACTTGAGAAATCCCCGAGGCAGCTGTGAGATTGGAACTATGGATGAAGACCAAATATGTACAAGAAATATATTTTGGTCATTGATCGCAGGATCGGACTCTGCTCAGTTTTCTTGAGATTTGATGAGATCATCAGGTAGCACCTAGCGAGAGTAGATGGCTGAGCCCTGGACACGATTGTGCTGTGGACCTGGGAGCATGAAGCAGAACTTAAGGATGCGGTAAAGAAAGAGTAGCTTGTCCGACGGGAGAAAGTCACGGCTCGGAATTGGGGTCCCAGGTCCTGTGGTCTGGGCTGCAGGCAGCAGGACTCGGGGCGTCTCTTCCACCCGCCCGGCCTGTATCAGCTATCTGTAGCTCGACTACAAGCTACACCAAAGCAGAGGGGCCTCACATGACCAACTGGCTCACACTGCTGTGGTGCTAGTGAGACTGGACCCCGCCTGGAGCTGCTTCTGGTGTCCCCCGGGCTCTGCCGGCCTCACAGTGGGCCCTGAGGGCACCCCCGCCATGCCTGTCCTTCCTCCAGCCTGTGTGCTGGGTGGCTGGCGCAGGGTTCCAAGAGAAAGAGCTGAGGAAGAGAGGAGCTCTTGGGTTTGAACCTAGCTCAGCACAGCTTCCACTCCATTGTAATAACTAGATTAGTCTTAAGGCCAACCCAGGGGAAATGAACTCCATTTCTTTCTCTTATTTATTTATTTTTATTGAGGTAAGTCTTGTTTACAACATAATGGAAGATTTGGGGGAGCAAAGTCACACCTGAGCTGTGGATTACCACACCCACAACCAAGCACCATTAATCCTCTACCATAGTGGTGAGCCCCCTCCCCCTGTGCCACCCTTCCCTCTAGGATCATGTGTCTGGGCTTTGTTTTGGTAAACTTTGTTTGTATGGCATCACTGTGACATCATGTGCAGAGGGCTGAAGTGCTGTGACCACTGTCTCCCCCAGCACACTCTGTAACCTGGCACCTTCTGCCCACAGGTGAACTCCTCCCTGCTGACCCCAGACTGCAGAGAGCGCTGTTCCTGCTCCTCACGCTCTGGCCTCACATGCCAGCCCGCTGGCTGCCAGTCAGGCCACGTATGTGACGTCCAGTCTGGGTCCCGGAACTGCTGGCCCCCCCCGGGTCTCTGCTCCCTCTCTGCGGATGGCAAACTCACCACCTTCGATGGGACGCACAATACGATCAGCTCCCCCAACATCTATGAGCTCTCTTTCCGCTGCCCAGGATTCCAGGCGGCCGTCCCCTGGTACCGCATCCTTGTTGACGTCCCGTCCTGTGGCAGCAAAGCTGTCCGTGTGGGCCAGGTCCACGTCTTCTTCCAGGACGGGCTGGTGACTGTGAATCCGAACAAGGGCGTGTGGGTAAGCCTGGGCGGGTGCCCTCTCCCTGGCTTGCTGCTGCTCGTGGGACCCCTGGGGACCCCTGCACTCCTGTCGGGCTGTGCTCTGTATCCAGCTCTCTGCTGTTGGCTCATCTCTGTATTTGTGTTTGTCTCAATCATTCAAATTCGGTCCCTCTGTTCTGGCTGAGCCCACAACTTATAATAGAGGAGCAGTCACTTTAGCACACAGTTATTCTACTTGCTAGGGCACTACTTGGGTTGTAAAAACAAGGGGTAACATTGCATTCATTTCGGGAAGGTAAATTATAGGACATGCTCAGCGTTCTTTTATTTTGAAAAGAAGAACCAGAGAGGATGATGCTGGGGGTTAATTGCTTATTTGCTTACCCACCTGGCACAGAGTGCCCCCCAGCCTGACCTGAGGTGACACTCAACAGTCTGTCCCTTCAGGCTGATCCCTGTCCCCGTCACCCAGGCCTCCACTGTACTGTTTGATGTATTCGTCTTCCCATACTGTGCAGCCAGCCGGGTCTTCAGCTCTTTCAGCACCTGCCTCTATGCTTTTGCTTTTGTTTTTTTTTTAAAGATTTATTTATTTGTGCATACAGAGCTGGGGTCCAGGCCAGAGGTTCAGGGGCGGTGAGAGGCTTCACCAGAGACAGAGTGGGGAGCAGAACAGGCAGATCGATGGAGTACACTGCTGAGGGGAGCAGCGGGCGGGTCAGGAGAGGTCTGCCGCGCCATGTGGTCACCTCCGGGGCAGGCGGGGATCGAACTCATGCGGAAGTGGTTTTAGCTTCTCAGTGCTGTGCTTTAACCGGCTGTGCCACCGGGGAGGGCCTGTTTTTTTTTTTTTTAAAGATTTATTTATGCATACAAGAACTGGGGTACAGGCCAGAAGTCAGGGGTGAGGGAATTCACCAGAGACAGAGTGGGGAGCAGAACAGGCAGATGATCAAAGTACACTGCTGAGGGGAGCAGCGGGCGGGTCAGGAGAGGTCTGCTGTGCCCTGTGGGTCACTCCCTGGCCGGGGCTACAGTGGCCGAGGACAGCTTCATAGTGCTGTGCTTTACCAACCCTTGCACTACCAGGGAGGGCCCTGCTTTTGCTTCTTGAATTTATTATCTTGCTTGAGGGCTCCATCCTCAAAACACCCAGCTGTTCTGCGGCTCTGGCCTCACCTCTGACCCCTCTCCACCACCACTAGGTGAATGGTCTCCGAGTGGATCTCCCCGCTGACGTGTTAGCATCTGTGTCCGTGAGTCGGAATCCTGATGGCTCCGTGCTCGTCCAGCAGAAGGCAGGGGTCCAGGTGCAGCTTTGGCCCAATGGACAGCTGACTGTGATGGTCAGAAGTGACCACACCAGGATGCTATGTGGGGCCTGTGGAAACTTCAATGGAGATCAAGCCTATGATGGGCACACCTCCCAAGGGAAGACACCGATGGAGAGATGGACAGCAAAGGACTTCTCCCCATGGTGAGGGGTGTAGCTCAGAAGCCAGGCTTCTTGGCACAGCGCTCCTGGGTCCTCGTGGGGGCCACAGCGGGCTGGGTGCCCACCGGGCTGGGTGCCCAGCGGGTGCGAGAGGAGCTATGTCTGTCTCTTGCAGTTCCACCTGACCTGCCACCACCTGGGGATGAGAACTTCAGGGCCTGAACGCCTCGGACACTGCAGTGATTGAAGGCGGTGTGTGTCATTTATGGTCCTCTCCCAGGTCTACCCCTCTGTTGATTCACTGTGATTGTGAGATCAGTGAATAAATGTCTTATGCTGAGCTGCTGTGTGTCTCTTGCCTACTCACCCCTGACCTTCCTCCCTCCATGCCTGTGGAATCTGACATATGATGAACATTTGTTAGGGATAAGAGGATGGGTGACTAGATGGAAGGATGGATTTTAAGAGGGTGGGTGGGGAAATGGATGACTGGAAGATTGGGTGGATGAGAAGATGAATGATTGGATGGAAAAGAGGAATGAAAAATGGAAAGAAAGATCAATAGATTATGACTTAATTATGGACCTATCAAGTTAATATATGTCCGCTGAATAAATGATCAGCAACAAACTTCGAGGAAGAATCTAAAACATATCATATAAAGTATTAATATCTACAATATACAAATAGCTCCTTAAAAAACAGTAAGAAAAAGACAATTAGAAAAAATATAGACTGAGGTTATAACAGGCAATTGACAAAGCCAGATATGTTGAATGCATACAATATGTCAGGTTATTCATATACAGTACATCTGAGCTTCACATATATAGATATAAATAAATAATCAAGATTAAATAAATTACCCAAGGGCAAACCACTTATAATATGAACCTAAGTTTGAAATCCACTTATGTCCATCACCAAAGCCAGTACTTTCCACTGAATCTTACTCTTGGGTTTTACCTAAATGCAAATCCTTTCAAGAAAAAGAATAGAGAGGACCAAAAAGTAAAGAAGAAAATAACAATCCAATAGAAAAATAAAAGACCTGAAGAACTCATAGAAAAAGAAAAAAGGTCCTTCTTAAAGATAAGGAATATTCAATTCTGCCCATATTAAGGAAAATGCAAATTAAACTACCTACCAGTGAGAAACACAACAACATGATTGGCTGACAAGGTTATGAATACCAGCTACAACTCAGATGTTACCAGCAGGAATGCAAGGTGTAGAAATACAGTGCAGGGGACTTTGGCAGACTCTGACAAAATGCTTTTTTTTCTTGACCCAGGAATCTCACTGGTAGGAATCCAACCCAGAGATACAATGTCAATGAAAGGGTGGAAACCCAAGGCTGTGCCCTGCAGTGCTCTATATAATGGAAAAAACTGGAACAACTTAGATGTCTAGCTAGTAGAATGTAGAATAAATCTATCTGATGGAAGACTATGCAGATGAATGAAATCTAAGGAAGAGCTTGGGCCCACCCTAGAGGTGCAGCAGGTTTAGCACAGCTGGCCGTTGCCACCCTCAGTACGGGTTCCATCCCAGGCCCCAGAGCTGACCCACATGGTGCAGCAGACCTCTCCTGTCTCCCGGCTGCTCCCCTCAGCAGTGTGCTTCATCAATCTGCCTGTTCTGCTCCCCACTCTGTTTCTGGTGAATCCTCTCACAGCCCCTACCCCTCTGGCCTTTACCCCAGTTTAGTATGCACAAATAAACAAATCTTTAAAAAAAGAAAAAAGAAAGAGCTCTAGACATTACTTAGGAACTATCTCTGTGCTATATATATGTATTTTTAAAGATTTATTTGCTAATGCATACACAAACTGAGGTACAGGCAAAGGTGGGGGGTGAGAGAATTCACCAGAGACAGAGCGGGGAGCAGAACAGACAAATGGACTGAAACACTGCTGAGGGGAGCAGCAGGGAGACAGGAGAGGTCTGCTGCGCCCTATGGATCACCTCCCTGTCCAGGGATCAAACACAAGCTGCAGTGTCTGTGGATAGCTGCATAGTGCTGAGACATAACCCCTTGTGCCACCGGGGGGCACAAGACCCTCTCCAGTATGTATTTTGAAGTGAAAAAAGCAAGGTTAGAACAGTATATGTAATAAAAGGTACCTAAGGGGAGGGGCACAAGGGGACTTGAGTGCCAACAATGTTCTTTTGTTCACCTGGGTGGTGGTTACAGTTTTTTCCGTTAGTGATAACTCATACAGCTAGACAACATGTCTGTAGGTATGCTATATTTTAAAACCAACAAAATTTAGGGCCCTCCCTGGTGGCACAGCGGGTTAAAGCACTGCACTAAGAAGCTTAAGCCAACTCCGCATGAGTTCGATTCCCGCCTGCCCCGGAGGAGATCCACATGGCGCGGCAGACCTCTCCTGACCCGCCCGCTGCTCCCCTCAGCAGTGTACTTCATCCATCTACCTGTTCTGCTCCCCACTCTGTCTCTGGTGAATCCTCTAACGCTCCGCATCTCTGGCCTGTACCCCAGTTCTGTATAAATAAATACATCTTTAAAAAAAAAAACCAACAAAATTTAAAATAATGTTAATCTCTGAATAGTCTTTATCCAAAAATGTGTGTGTGTGTGTGTGTGTGTGTGTGTATGAGAGGAACTTGTTTGGATCTTGACTTCAACAAACAGCAAATTTTAAAAATCTTCAACAACAGTAGAAATATGTGATCTTTACTAGATTGTACAAAGGACTTCTTATTAATTCTACTAGTTGTGAAACACAAGAAAATGTCCTTTTTTTAAAAAAAAAGAGATATATACTTAAATATATAGGGGAAATGGCTTAGTAGGTTTATTTTTAAATACTCCAGCAAAAAAGATGAAGGCAAGATATAAGACTGGCAAAGTGTTGATAGGGCTGAGGGTGGATAATTTTAAAAATGGGGGTTTCTTGTATTCTCTACTTGTGTGTAGAATTAAAAATTTTATTATACATATTTTTAAACTATCAATCATCGCAAGCCCAATAATAACAGCCTAGTCCCAATTTGGCTTTTCACGGAAAGCTGTAGTGACATTAGCACTTCTGTAGCTGATGTGGCCATGTCTTCCCTCAACACATGGGTGTGAGCCCCTACTATAGGAGAACTGGAGATGTCTTTCATGGCTGTAAAATGATCCCCTCACCCAAAGACATCAAGACCTATTCTTGGAATCTGTAAATATTCCCTAATTTGGAAAAAAAAAAAAAAGATCTTAGCAAGATCTTATGTAAGTTAAAGACCTGGGATGAGAAGATTCTTTTGGAGTAGCAGTGAACCCTAAACACAAGCTCATATATCCTCATTAGGCAGGGATTTGGTACACATAGAGGCGATGCTGTGAAGATGGAAGCAGAAACTGGCGTGATGTGGCCACAAGCCAGGGGATGCTGAGAGAACAAAGACCAGCTCCTTCCCAAAAGCCTCTAGAGGAAGTAGGACCCTGTAGATGCTTTGATTTGGGGACTGCTGACCTCCAAAACCTCAAGGAAACAAATTTCTATTAGTTTATGGTTAAGTTAGAGCCACAGGAAATTAGTTCGTGTCTACACCATGAGAGAATGTCAGTTAGATGTGAGTTAAGGAAGAGGTTCGAGGTAGAGAGAAAACATGGGAGTTACCAATTTTTAGCATGATGAAAAGTGGTGAATCATCAAGGGAATTAAGTGTGAATAGAAAACAGAAGATGGCCCAGGCAAGACTTCTGGGGCCTTTCGAGGTGAAGAGACGGATGAGCTGTGGAGACCAGGAGAGCTACAGAGAGGGCGGCCAGTGAGTCTGGGGGACACTAGGAGAATAGGGAGTCCTGGAAATTAAGTGGGAAAAGCATGTAAAGCAGGACAGTGTCACATGCCTCACATGGTCAAGCAGGATAAAGATGGAAAATTTATCATTGGATTTACCAACATAGAGGGCCTTCATGACCTCAAGAAAAGTTGGAGTGATGGAGAGAAAAGCCCAACTGGAGTAGGTCCAGTGGAAAAGATTCTCTGTAAAGACAGAACAGAAAGTTCTTTTTTTCTTTCTCCTTGTGGTAAGCAGTCATAGACGAATGAGTGGGGGCCTTTGTGGTGGAGCAGCGGTTAAAATCTCAGCACTATCAGGCTATCACCAGCCACTGCCACCTCCCCCATCACGAGAGCTGACCCACATGGTGCAGCCGACCCCTCCTGTCACCCCACTGCTCCCCTCAGCAGTGTGTTTCAGTAGATCCAGCTGTTCTGCCCTCCACTCTGTCTTTGGTGAATCCTCTCACCCTCCCCTTTCCCACTCGTCTGGCCTGTACCCCAGTTCTTGTATGCATAAATAAATAAACATACATTTTTTAAAAAAAATAATGGAATGATTGGAGAATGTTGGCAATATTTTTATGTAAACTTATCAAATGTCCAGAAAAGTTGGAAGAAGCACACACCTCAGCTGTGAGTGAACAGACTCAGCACCTGGACTGCAGCTGGGTGTTGGGGGTGTGAAAGGGTTGTCCTGGAGGTGTTTTGTAACACCTTTTTGCTTTGTGGAATAAATAGAGGGATGAATCAATACAAAATGACAAAGCACAAAGTTCTCAGTACTTGCAAGACTGTTCACGCCTCATCCCTGCCTCTGCCTGCACCTGAGCTTGTCCGTGTGTCTCTTCCCTGCTCCTTTGCAGCAGGCCTCTCCTTGGTCTTCTTGCTCACACCCTTCCCACAGGCAGCCAGTGGCCCCAAGGCAGATCATGCCCCTCCCCTCTTTCCACAGCTCCATCTCACCCAGTAAATCCCAAAGCCAAGACTGACAAGACCACACAATTTGCTTCCTACCTCCCTGCCTCTTCCTCCCACTCCCCCCTGCTAACTCGCCCCAACCTCAGTTTCTAACCCCCCTTTCCTGCCTCAGGGCCTTTGCACATGCAATCCTCCTTGCCTTAAACTCTCTTCCCCTAGATAGAGGGATTTTTCCGTCCTCACCAAATTGTTTTTTGCCTGAAGTCACCTGATGCATTCCTCAACCACCTGATGAGAAATGCCAGTCACACACACCCACACACTTCCTAGCCCCCTCCCTGCCGTTATTTTCTCTCAAGTATTACTGTCTTAATGTCGGACTGCGTTCTAGCAGGCGGGAAGGGAGGTGGAGAGGCTATGAGGGCAGCGAGGAGACTTCAGAGCGCCAACTAGGGCTAGCGAAGGGGGGCACGGGGCACGGCCTCGACTGCCCCGGCTCTCGCACAAATGAAGGGGAAGCGGTTCGCCCCACCTGCAAGGGCAGCGGCGACAGCAGTGCAGAGGGCGGCGCCCAGCGAGGCTCAGGCACCTCCGCTCACCGCTGCCCGCCCGCCTCCGGGCGGGGCGCGGGCTGCGAGGGGCGGGGCTGCGTGCTTGCGTCACGCGCCGTGCGTCTCCGGCGCCTGCGCCCCTCTCCACGTGCGACATCCCGCGACTCGTGCGGTTCCGGACGCCGCGCAGTTCTACACACGCCATGAAGCCAGGTGCGGGCCGGGGATGGGGTCCAGGGCCGGGCGCCGGAGCCTGGCGGGGGTCGGGGTGCTACTCCGGGATTGGAGGGCGAGGCCTTGGCCGGAGAGCAGGGTGCTGCGCCCCCGAGCCTGTCTCGTGGAGGGAGAGGGTCGCATTTCCGGTCTCTGTTGGGGAACAGGGTCTTGATAGCGTCCGAGGGTCGATCCTGAGCCCCGGGTTCGGGTCCGTGGTCTGAGGTGTGGGACTCACTTCGGAGAGCACGGTCCGGAGCCTGGGCTTGGTGCGGGGAGGAGATGGGGGGATCCTGAACTGGGGTTCGTCTTGTTGAGGCGTTATTAGGGCTTTTGGTGTATCGGGTCGGGTGCGGTCGTCAGGGGTACTGATCCCTGATTCGGGGTCCGGGCATCGGGAGTCGAATTCGGAGGTGATAGTTCCTGGTTTGGGGTCCCGGAACTGAGTCCGAGGAGACCCCCGTTTGCCTCCCCTGTCACCGCCGCTACCGCCATCCCTTTGCCCCCGACCCAGCTGTCTAGACTCAGCCGGAGTGGATGGGGGTCCCCCCCGACGCCCGGCACACTTTCCCGCTCTCTGCTCCGTAGGGGGCGGATCCCCGCGCTCGGAGCTTGTGGATCGTGGGTCTCAACTCCTCGAGGAGGTGAACCTGACAAACCCACGTAGGGTTAGCGTGGAGAGGAGGAGGGAGCTTAGCCACATGGCTAATGGTCTTACTCGTTCGTTTGTTTTTTTCGGAGATTCTGATGATCCCATCTCACCGCGTGGTGGAAAGAGCCCTGAGTGCTAAGTTATTCCCGACTGCTGCTTAAATTACTGTGGGCTCTTGGGCAAGTGGCTTAACCTTTCTGACCTCAGTTGTAATTCAGTGAGATCGAATTAAGAAAGCGGTAGTGCACGTTGGCAATCCATTTCTCATTATATAAGTGTGTCACATCAACACGCCCTACCCCTTAATCTTCTCTCATAATGTTTTATGTCAGTTATCTCTCAGAGCTGGAAAACAGCACAGTGTGGGGGGTCGCGGATCCGTGCCCTCTCCAAAGTGTCCTTTCTCTTCAGTGTTTGGGGATCTGGTGAATTCGGCTGGGGGTAATAGGCTGTGTCTTTCCCACTGAGAGCCTGGCGTGCCTGCAGGTGCCCTGTGGTCTTATTCTCCAGGAATGAAAAATACACTTTCCTCTGGGCTCTTCTGCCACTGGGTTAGGGCATGGAGATGGAGCTGTGGTCAGGAACCTCCGACAGGTTTGGGTTTCCAGAGGAAAGCTGGGGGGTGATGTTGAGGAGAGGCGTGAGGCAGTCTGACGGACACTTTGAAAGCAAGTGTGTGCAAGAGCCTCAGAACAGCAAGAGCGGGTACAGGCACCTCCATGGGGTGTTTGGCCAGAATCTAGTAGGACACCATGTGGACCAGGGTGGTAGCAGGGGCCCCTTACTTGTATGTGGGCGCAGGGAGACGAGGTAAGGATAACTAAGGGGTTGGCCAGTGTAACTGGAAGGCTGGAGTTGCCATGTAAGAGGGGAAGACGGGAAGAAGGTGCATGTATAGCAGAGGGTCTGTGGACCTTCCCCAGGAGCTCAGGACCTCAAGTTGCATTAAGGTGTATTTTGAGTGTCTGAGACTGAAAGCGGACCGTGGGCGCCGTGCCAGCCCCACACCTTCCGGGTCTCTTCTGTGAGGCTTGGGTTGAGTTGGTGGGCCTAAGCGGCAGGGAGTGGGAGATAGTTTGAGTGACAGTATTCACACTGTGTGCCAGGCAGTGTAGGGCATGTGTTTGACGCTGTGGAGTCCGTATGTCTTGGCAGCGCTGAGAGGTGCCTCTGCATTATCTCTGTTCCTCCATCCTGCAGATGGAACCTCAGCTCCCAGGAATCTTCCTGAGTTTAAGAGCCACCAGCAGCCCCTTCAGTGTTTGTTGAGCCCGTGCTTAGTGCTGGGTGTCGCACAAGGAGACACGGTGCTGGTGTTGACTGCAACAGCGTACATCCCCGTCCGTCAGGAGCTTTCTGCCAGGAATAGGCAGTAAGGCTGTTAGAAATGCTGGGATGATGATTGACAGGGAGAAAAAGAAGGAGAGGCGAAGGTCAGGTGGCCAGAGGGCCCTTTTGTGGAAGCAGCATTTGATCAGAGACCTGAAGAGCTGGCTGAACCCCACAGATGGCCCAGGAGTCGGGCCCCGGGCACAGCTGATATAAGAGAGTTAGAAGTCAGCTGAGTTTGATCTTAGGGAGGAGGCGAGAAGCCAGCAGATGCTGGAGCCTTGTGATGGCCTGTGGGTCTCAGTTTGAGCTACACACTGCTCATCACCTGGAGAAGTTTAATAAAAGACACCACGTCCAGCCCCCCACCTCTGACATTAAGTCAGATCTCTTTGGATTAACCAAAGGTGAGGCCCTCTTCTGAGGGCTTTGCATGCCAGGGAAAGGAATTCGGATTTTATGTACAGTGTGATGGAAAACCTCTGGAGGAACTTGGGCTGGAGAATGGTGGGATCTGATTTGGACTTTGAAGAGGCTGCTATGCGGCCCACAGACGGTAGGGGGAGCAGAAGCTAAATCTCAGTTACTGTTCTGTGTGGTTTTGAAACTGACTTTAACAATGGAACTTGGACTAGCTACTAAAAGTTTTACAGCCACAGAGCTTTTAGTAGTGTGTGAATAGTACACCTTTAAAAGTCACAGAAACTTTTAACAAGTTTACTTCTGCATAGTGTACATCAAGTGAGGTTTTTTTTTGGCTTACATTTTGGGTTTTTTAAATTCTTTTCTTAATTGATTTTTGAACAGTGTTTGATTTCTCCCCACAGGGTGGCCCCCACAGTTCTCCTGCCACCATAGCTCCCATGATAAAGTGGCCACAGTCCATTGTGTTCCCCCCCTCCTGTTTTCATCCCTCGCGGTGCTGGGATCCTAGGTCTGCGGTCAGCCTGAAGTTTTGGCCCTTGTCCTTTTCCTAACCCTCTTCCTGGCTCCTCTCTGCATATGAGTGAAACCATCCGACACTTCCCTTTTCCCTCTGACTTCTCTGAGCATAACAAGTTCCAGCTCCAGCCATGCTGCTGCAGATGGCACGGGTCACTATTTTTTTTTGCTGCTGAGTAGCGTTCCATTGTATCTGTAGGCACCATCTTGACCCACGCCTCTGGGGCCCTGAGGCTATTCCAAACCTCAGCTATCATGCGTGTGCTGCAGCAGTCACAGGAGAGCAGTTTCCTTTCGATCACTGAGTGGACTTGCTGGGTCATGCAGAAGCTCTGTTTAAAGATTTATTTATTTATGCTGACAGAACTGGGGTACAGGCCAGAGGTGTGGTGGGTGAGAGGATTCACCAGAGACAGAGTGGGGAGCAGAACAGGCAGATTGATGAAGTACACTGCTGAGGGGAGCAGCGGGGAGACAGGAGAGGTCTGCTGTGCCCTGTGGGTCACTCCCTGGCAGGGGATTGAACTCATGCTGCAGCGGCTACAGAGAGCTTCATAGTGCTGTGCTTCATAACCCATTGTGCCACCAGGAAGAGCCCTGCTTTGTTTTTAATGTGAGCTATTCTCACAACTGAGAATAAATTTTCACCAATTTTATAACTCATGTGATTTTTCTGAATGGTGTTGCAGAGCCTTTAAAACTAACAACAGAAAAGTCAATTGTCAACTCTCTGCCCCAGGAGAATTCTGACTGCTTTCCACAGCATCTAAATAGTCTTTGCTGTATCCTGAAATAGTGAAAGTAAAGCCTCTCTCAGGACCCTCCCCCCCCCTTTTTTTTTTTTGGCCTGTCTTGTGGATTAGCCCTGAACTGCTGTCACCATCCATAAAGACCACTCCGTTTTCTTCTTTCCCCTGCCAACTTGGAAGCAGGGAGATCAGTTAGCAGGGCAGATGTGTGCCCGTGTGGAGGTCGAGGCTTTTCTTCCAGACACCCAGCAGGACTGTGATGGAGTTGTTGTTTCCAAGGGTCCTCGGGGACTTTACTGCCACCAGCTAAGCTAACATGCAGAGGCTGCGCTTCTTCAGACTACCGAGCCTGAGGTGAGGCTGAACTGTATGGATCTGCTGTGCAAGCAAGAAAAGCAGACTCTCACCAGATGCCTTTTCTCCCCTCACCCCCCCCCACCCCCAGTTTGTGGGATTGGCAGTGATAATTCCCTTGGGGACAGGTTACCACACATTGACACAGCATAGCACTGTTTTCGTTGTTTCTAAACCTTATTTTTTAAAAAGGATTTATTTATTTATGCATACAAGCACTGGGGTACAGGCCAGAGATGTGGGGGTGAGAGGATTCATCAGAAACTATGGAGAGCAGAACAGACAGGTGGGCTTAAACACACTGCTGAGGGAAGCAGTGGGAAGACAGGAGAGGTCTGCTGTGCCACATGGGTCAGCTGCCTAACCAGGGATCGAACTCACTACAGTGGCCGCTGGCAGCTTCATAGTGCTGAGATTTTAACCCCTGCGCCACCGGGGAGGCCTGTTGCTGGACTTTATGGAAAGGGTGTATTGCTGGGGACTTCCTGTGACCTGCTTTTTCACTCAAGGTTATGGTTCTAAGGTTCCCCGATGTGTGTGTCCATCATGACTATTCCCGACCCACTTGGCCACGCTGCCCCTGGGCCCTTTCGGACACTCTTGCCCCTCACGTGTTTCTCCACCTCTGTGTGGGTGTAGGCTCCGTTCCCAAGCCTCTACATCCTCATGTCTCTTCTGTTTCCACCACAGGTTTCAGCCCCCGTGGGGGCGGCTTCGGCGGTCGAGGGGGCTTTGGTGACCGTGGCGGCCGCGGTGGAGGCCGGGGAGGCTTTGGCGGGGGCCGTGGCGGCTTTGGCGGGGGCCGAGGCCGAGGTGGAGGCGGAGGCTTTCGCGGCCGGGGACGAGGAGGAGGCGGAGGAGGAGGAAGAGGTGAGTGAGACGGGCGGTGTGATGGAGGTGGCTTTCCCAGGGCTCCCACACCTGGAGGAAGAAGACGTGGGGTTCCCCTCTCTCTGTGCCTTGCAGGTGGAGGGTTCCAGTCTGGTGGCAACCGGGGTCGTGGTCGGGGAGGAAAAAGAGGAAACCAGTCAGGGAAGAATGTGATGGTGGAACCTCACCGGCACGAGGGTGAGTGACGAAGGTGTGCGCAGGTCGGGGAGGCGGGGGCCGGCCTGGTGCAGCGCCCTCACCCTGCTCTGACGCCATACCTAGGTGTCTTCATTTGTCGAGGGAAGGAAGATGCGCTAGTGACCAAGAATCTGGTCCCCGGAGAGTCTGTCTATGGAGAGAAGAGAGTGTCCATCGCGGTGAGCCCTGGGGCCCCAGCAGGTGGTGTGACCGCGGCCTGGTCTCCTGCCCTCCGCGTACGCGCCGGACACTTGGCCGCTGGGGCGGTGTGGCCGCGAGGCAGAGCACGAACGCCCCTCGCGCCTTCTGAGGCTCCCGCTGCCTTCTGGAGGAGCCTCGGTCCTCGGGGCTGGAGGCCCCCGGCCGTGTCCCCCTCCCCTCCGCACGTCTTCCTGCCACGCTGCCCTCCTTGCTGCTCCCGTGCCTGGAACGCTCCCCTGGCTCTGGCCAGCTCGTTTTCATCACCAGCCTCGCCGGCCCGGTGTCATTTGTCCTTCTCCAAAGCCACCCTTAGCCCCCATCCTCTGCTGCCCCCCCCCCCAGTGTCCTTTTCTTCATGGCCAGGTACAACCCTGCTTAAGCGTTTCTGCTGGACCCCCAATAACTTAAAAGGCCCCTCACCTCCTCTTGGTCTGATTCAGCGTCCCTGGGCTCCTCCCCGCCCCCTTCCTCATGTCTCCTGCCCTGCCCCACCCCCGTACCTTCACAGCTTCTCTCCTCGCTTGGTCTTTTCTCTTGAGCCCCAATAACTGGTGCTACACTTCACATGTTAGTCCGTTCTGCGCGTGTTCATGCAGGGGCCTTTGTCTCATGCGCTGTGTTCCTCATGCCTGGTGGAGGCGCTGGCCCAGAGATCGTGCCGGCACAGCAGATGCGGGCTAACGGGCTTCTAGACCCTGCCATTATCTAGTCCGATCCTGTCTGTTGTCTGCGCGGCCCCTTCTCCCCTGGTTAGGGGCAGACGGCAAGCCCAACGCGCGTGGTATCACTATGTACCCACCCTCAGAGACCCCTACAGCACAGGTCTCCCAGAAGAGCCTGGCACTGACTCGCTCCCCATCTCTCCCGGCCCAGGAGGGAGATGACAAAATCGAGTACCGTGCCTGGAACCCCTTCCGCTCCAAGTTGGCGGCGGCAATCCTGGGTGGTGTAGACCAGATCCACATCAAGCCCGGGGCCAAGGTGCTCTACCTTGGGGCTGCCTCCGGCACCACCGTCTCCCACGTCTCAGACATCGTAGGCCCGGTGAGTGGGTCAGGCACGGGGCGGGGGTTGTGAGGACGGGCTGCGTGGGGTGCAGGGGAGGCTGCCTCTCCTTTCAACCTGGAGTCGGAGGCTCTGGCTGCTTCCTTGTGCTGGGCGCTGGGCCCTTCCTCTCAGGGCCTGTGAGTAAAAGGGACTGCGTGAGCCAGTGTTCAGAGCCTGTGTCAGCCTTCATCTGGAGCTTCTGGCTTGGGAGGGAGAGTGAGGGGTGACAGACGCTGCGTGAGGGACGCAGAGCTGATATACCAGACCATTTGATTTGGTTTAAAAACATACGCTCCCAGGCCTAGACTTCTGGTTTCTCTGGAGAACACGCGAGCTGTCTTGTCTCCAGGCCAGCGTGTCTGAGGCGATGCGGGCTTCCTGTTGGAGGGCACCCGTGCTTCAGCCTGACTCCTGCCCTACATAACTCGGCTTGCCTGACTTAGTGGTTACAGACCCCCAGACTCTGCAGGCGTTTCAGTGAAGTGGCTTTAAGCAGCTTACTTAATCTGAGCCTCAGTTTACCTCTCACCCCACACAGCAAAGCTGATCCCTGTACAGCACTCACCACAGAGCCTAACCCATTGCAAATGCTCTTGGCTCTTGTGACGTTATCTCTGTGTCCTCATTCCTGGCTTTAACTCGGATTGGGGTGCCCGGCCTCTCAATCAGGCAAAGTGGAATTGAATAACCTGTGGCTGGTGACCCCTCTGGACCTCAGTTTACCCACCTGTAAAGTAGATGTGGTGATAGGTGTTAAACGTAGGGGTTTCACCAGGGGAGTTGAAGAGATGCTTTGTGCAGTGCGTGGCGATGATGTCATCATTGCTATTAATTTAACTTCTCTTTAGGATGGTCTGGTCTATGCAGTCGAATTCTCCCACCGCTCTGGCCGTGACCTCATTAACTTGGCCAAGAAGAGGACCAACATTATTCCTGTCATTGAAGATGCCCGGCACCCACACAAATACCGCATGCTCATCGGTGAGGGGTCTCGGGAATTGGTGTGGTATGGCAGGTATCCTGACAGGCAGGCAGAGCCCTGATTTGGATGGAATTGGAGTGGATGAGCAGGCCTCCTGATAAGCAGGCCTCTGCAGGAATGGAAAGGGTGGGCAAGCCAGGTGCGGTTGTGGACGCAGAGGGCCAGCCTCCTCCCTTCCAATCCGCTGTCCCTTTCCCTAAACCCTGAATTTCCTGTCTCCCTCCAGAACTCGGTACTTTTTCTACTGTCCCTGGTTTGTGTATAAAAGCCTCCTTCAGAGGTCCCTTATCATCATCATCTGGTGAAATCATAACCCCCAAAGCATATAAACTGAGCATGGCCTGGCCCAGAGGGGCCTGTTGAAAATATGACTGTGTAAAAATAACTCAAAAGCATAATGTAAAAATGGAACACCTTACACTAATATGAACACTTTGATGTCTGCTTTTTCCAGTTTTTAAAAAGTCAGTTTTTGTTATACCATATTTTTTTTATTTTGTATTTTTATTATTATTATACTGCCTTAAAAGTATTCCTTTGCATTCCGCTGGCTTTTCTTTCTATAAGTTTTTTCTCCCCTGCACTCATAATACCCTTTGTCCTACAACTTGGTTTCATTTGACAATCCTGCAGACTCCTTTGCCTGTAAGTGCTTACCTTTACTTGACTTTTTTGATGACGTGTCTGTCTCCCCCCCCAGACCCGGGAGCGTCTCGAGGGCAGGGTCCGGGTCTGACTCGTCTCTGTGTCCCCCACGCCCGGCCCGGGGCTGGCCACAGAGTAGGTGGCAACCATGGTTTAAAGGAGTGAATGAATGGTGTGGCTGTGGGTTTTGGACCCATCTTGGGGGCACTGTGGTGGGAGGGGGATCAGTGGGTGGGGAAGTGAGACTGAAGGCAGGGAGACTGCCAGGAACCTGCTGGTGATGGGGCACTGGCCCCAGGGAGGAGCTGGGAAGAGCCAGTGGGTCCAGCTTGTTAACTGCCACTTCTTTCTCCCTAGCAATGGTGGATGTGATCTTCGCTGATGTGGCCCAACCTGACCAGACCCGGATTGTGGCCCTGAATGCCCACACCTTCCTACGTAATGGTGGACACTTTGTGATTTCCATTAAGGTGAGGGCTTGGAGGAGTCCAGGATGGAATGGCACCATCCTCTCTTTCTGTAACTATCATGCAGCCAGTCGCACCAAGGGATCTGCCTGCCTTCCCTCCCTTCACTCAGCTACGGCCTCTGGCCCTACACTGCTCCTTGAAAGCCACTTCTGACCCCCATTCAGGTAGCACAGATAAGCTTTGGATTTGCAGAGGTAAATAGTGTAGTGGTGGAGGGCGTGATCACTGTGTCTGACCACTGCTGGAGCTTGAGTTCCAGTTTGCTGGATGACTGAGAAGATTACTAGACCTGTGTCCCAGTTTCTTCACTGATAAAATAGTAATAGTTTGTGTCAGTGTTGATGTAAAGATATGTGAATTTATATATTTTTTAAATTTGGATTTGTATCTGTGGAGTGTTTAGGACAGTCTGGTATAGAGTAAATGCTAGGTATATTTTAAAAAGCATTTTATTTTGAAGTTCCCTTCAACCAGATTCTCCATGTTTAGCCTTTTGCTACATGTATTTGAATGTTCTTAGCTGCACTACTGTTAACTAAAGAAGAGAACATAGGAGGAAAGGGGAAATCCTTGACTGTAGAATTTAACTACCAGCTTTTAAATAAATATGGCTCTGTTTGATTCCTGTTGAAACCAAATTTAAAACTTCTCCAATGAAGCCTCCCAGCCTTTCCAAAAACTTTACCAAGCTGCCAAGAAAAGGGAATATTTCTGGTGTAAAGAACAAAGGCAGAAGGAAAAAGCTTTGCTGCTGACTCCAAGTTCTTGCTCCTGCAGGCCAACTGTATTGACTCCACAGCGTCAGCTGAAGCCGTGTTTGCCTCTGAAGTGAAAAAGATGCAGCAGGAGAACATGAAGCCCCAGGAGCAGCTGACCCTAGAGCCATACGAGAGGGACCACGCCGTGGTCGTGGGTGTGTACAGGTGAGCTGGAGACCCGGGACTCACCGGACAGGGTCTCCCTGCGCCCCGAGTGGGTTGGTACCTGTCACAACAGCTCTGACTGCCCTCCTCTCCCTACAGGCCGCCCCCCAAGGTGAAGAACTGAGGCCCAGAGCCACCTGCATTGCGAGGGACTGTGTTACTACCGTTACACGTGTGTTTTTTCTATTAAAAGACGCTTTCGTCGCTCCTGTCTGCCTTCAGCTGATTGCTTGGCGACCTCCGTTGACAATGGCGCATGCGTCCTTGGTCACCCTGCGCGGCGGCGAGATGGACATTCTCATTGGTCCACACGGCGCATGCTCCATTCTTTGCCGACTTGGGCGTCGGTGTCCGGACTTTTCGGCGCTTGGGCGGGGTTGGGAGCTCACTGCGCATGTGTGCCAGTAAGCGCTGCTCGGCGCAAGCGCGGAATGTTACCCCGGGTCACGTGAGCTGGAGTCGTGGGGGTGGGGCGGGGCGGAGCTTGGGACGGGGGGGGGCCGGTTTGTTGTGGTCGCCATTTTGCTGATTGCATTACTGGGTAATCGGGGCCCTGGCTCGCCGCGTCCGCCGGATACCTTCAGCCAGTGGGCAGGTTTGAGCTCGGGCTTCCCGAGCAGCGTGAGTCCCCTTGCCCGCGCCCTCAGGTAACGACGCGGTTGAGGGTGGGACGGCACGCACTCGCGGGGAGGGGGGTCGTTGGGGACCCGCCCTGTTCGCTTCGCCGCTGGACTTAGCACGAGGCCGAGGTTGGGGGGGAGGTGGGCAGGTGTAGCCGGTGCCTGGCTATTCATAGTTGGATTCCTGGAAGCAGCCGAGCCCAAGGGAGCAATCTTGGGAGGGGGGCTGGGAGGGGGTAGCGGGGGCCCGGCTCCCGCCCTTTGTTTAGGCTCGGCTCCGCCGGCCGCTTCGTCGTCTCCTAGCAACAGCTGTCCTGGGCTGTGATTGGCTGCGCTCTTGGCCGCCGCGGCCAATGGTACGGTTGTTGCCATGGCAGGTGCGAACTGCCAACTTTGGCTCGGCCCTGCCCGCCAGGGCACCCCCGACTGGGGCGGGCCTCCAGGGTGGAGGGCGGGACGCCGGGGTCCCCCGGGTCGAGTGGCTGCGCGGGGCGGGGCCGGAGGGGCGAGGGTTAACCCGCCCTCCCCCGTCCACCTGCTTTCCCCCTCCCCCGCGTGGCCCGGGCTGACCCTCGTCCTCTCCTCTCCCCGCCCCCGGCGGCGGCGGCGGCAGCGGCTGCTGCTGTTGTCACCCACCGGGCCTTTGGGCGGGGCTGCAGGGGCGGGGGCGGGGCCCGGTGCGACCGCAGGTTTACCTGTGGGAGGGGGCTGCCCGTGAGATCCCTGCGACTGCAGAGCTCGGGCCCAGGAAACTGCAGGTGCAAGGGGCGGGGCCAGGGAGACCTGCTGGGGCGGGCTTGGGGGGGACGGGAGGCGGGGCTCAGGGGTGGCGGGTCCGGAAGCGGGGTCCCAGGTGAGCGGCGGGCGGAGGGTGAGTGGTCGCGCGGGAGTGGGGAGCGAGTCCCGCCTTTTCCGCGGTGCGGCGGGGGCGTTTGGGCGGGAGCGGGAGCTTTCGGCCGCTGAGGGTCCTGGAGGCCTCGCGGGTGGCCCCTGGGCCGGAAGGGCCGGCCAGGCCTGCTGGTGCCTTGCCTGGGTCGGACTTGGGTCTCAGCTGCCTTGGTGACTAGGCCGGCGGTTCCCCTTGTCCCTGCCGTGC